AAATAAAGTTAACTCTCCTAGCAACAGCCTCCAGGAAATATAACAGAATAAATGCTTCATAGAAACTAGAGACAAACTCCCTGGCAATAATCAATGGGAATTGGTTGAGAGTCGGGGGGGGGGGAATTCTCCCCAATGTTTCAGATATGGTTTTATAAAAATAGCCATTATGATTATATGCCTTAGCCATTGTGATTATGTGCCTCAGAAAAGGTCACCCTGCCCTGCTAAACTTCACCGAATTCTGTAATGCCAAGGCTTGTGGCCCCCTGCTTGCTGCCATGGAAACCCCTGGCTCACAGACTTTCCCTTTAAAAATCCTGTTCACTCAGAGCTCGGTGTCCCACTTCTCCACTGCTGTGCCGGTGAGACTTGGGTCCTGAGTTTGATCGCTCTCATAATAAAGCTCTCTTGCAATTGCATCGAGTCATCTCCTGGTGGTCTCTGAGGGTCCCGTGAACCTGACATAACAACTTCTTGGGTCCATTTTCTTGGAAAGCCTTCTTCCAGCCCTTTACTCTCAGGTAATGTGTATCTTTGCGACTTAGGTGTGTTTCTTGTATGCAACAGATTTCTGGGTCTTGTTTATGCATCCATTATGTTAGTCTGTGTCTTTTTAGTGGAGAATTGAGTCCATTGATGTTGAGAGAGATTAATGACTAGTGTCTGTTAGATCCTTTGATTTTGATGTTGGCTGTGGTCATAAGTTTGTGTGATTGGTTGCCTTTTGTTTTACTGGAGTGAGGTTAATTATTTCCTGTGTTTTCTTGAAAGTGGCTAGTTTCCTTGTGTGGTATTTTTCCTTCTAGTGTTTTCTATAATGCTGGATTTGTGTGTAGGTATTGTTGAAATTTGTTTTTGTCATTGAATATCTTGTTTTCTCTCTATGAGGACTGAGAGTTTTGCTGTGTATAGTAGCGTGGGCTGACATCTGTGTTCTCTTAGGGTCTGCATGATATCTGTCCAGGCCCTTCTGGCTTTCACAGTCTCTGTTGAGAAGTCAGGTGTGATTCTCATGGGTTTGCCATGATATGTTACTTGGCATTTTTCCCTTGCAGCTTTTAGTATTTTTTCTTTGTTCTGTATACTTACTGTTTTGATTATTATGTGGCGGGAGGATTTTTTTTCTGGTCTAATCTATTGGATTTTCTGTAGGGCTCTTGTATTCTTATACGCCTCTCCTTTAAGTTGGGGCAATTTTCTTCAATGATTTTGTTGAAAATATTTTCTGGGCCTAGGAGGAGGGAATCTTCTTTTTCCTCTATTCCTATTATTCTTAGGTTTTCTTTTTTTTAATGTTGTCTTGAATTTCTTGGACAGTCTGTGTCAGGAATTTTTTAGATTTAACATTTTCTTTGACAGATACATCGATTTCTTCCATTGTATCTTTCACACCTGAGATTGTTTCTTCCATCTCTTGTAGTCTATTGGTTATGCTAACCTCTGTAGTTCCTGTTTTCTTCCCTAAGTTCTTTCTCTCCACAATTTCCTCCATTTGTGTTTTCTTTACTTTTTCCAATTCTATTTTCAGATCTTGAGCCATTTTGTTGATTTCCTTCACCTGTCTGACTGTTTTTTCCTGTTTTTCCTTCAATTCCTTCAGCTGTTTGAACAATCCTCTGTTTCTTTTATTTCTTTCAGTGATTTAAGTATTTCCTTTCTAAAGCCCACAGACTGTTTGGCTGCAACTTCCCGTATTTCTTTACGGATGGACATGATCTGTTTTTCTTTATCTTCTTCTATTTCTTTACGGATGGCCATAATCTGTTTGATTTTATCTTCTTCTAGGTCTTTATGTATTTTATTTGTTTCCTCTGTTATCCTCTTCATGAGCATAGATGTTAGGTCATCTTCTTGAATTTCAATTATGTTGGGGTGTCCAGGCGTACTTACCCCTGAATAACTGGGTTCTAGAGATGTCATATTGCTCTGGCTTTCGTTGGTTTGAGCTTTTATGCTGGCCTCTACCCATTGGGCTATATTAGGTGTTGGGTGTTAGTTTCTGGTGGTTCCTGCAATCCTGTGGTGGAGAGAATCCCCTTGGCAGGAAGATGGTTTTTCCTGAAGGAAGCCTCCTCAGCTTTTTGGGTATGGTCACTGTATGGCCGGTGTTTTTCAGGAGTTGCCACAGCTCATCTCAGATGTAGAGACTTGAGTGGTAACTGTGGTCGCTTTTAGTTGAGAGGGTTCTCCTCTAGCCCTGGGAGAAGTCCTTGGGACAGCTGCCCTGATTCTGGGTTTCTTGTTGTAAATTTAGTGAGCTGATGCTGTAACCTGGGTGTCCCGTGGTTTTGTCAGTTTTGTTAGAGATAACCTGTTGCCCCTTGGAGCAGTATCTGGGGGTTGATTTTGGAGATACCAAGCTTCTGTAGGTCTGAGGTTGGGGCTCTGTGCCCCAGTACCCAAGCAGTTATCTATGGCAGGTGAGTACCGCTCTCCTGGTAACAGCAGGCTAGCTGGTGCACAGCCGATCCTTGGATTGGGCCAGTCTGTGGGACCTTTTCTAGGGATATACTGGGTGATCCATGTCTGTCCCCATTTCCTTCCTTCCCTGTGGGGTTTACTCCTGATAGGGATTCCTAGTCTCTGATGCCCTGGTGCTCACAGCTCTGTCTGTGCCAGAGAGCTGGGTGTGCAGCAAGTCTCTGTGCTCACAGCTGGAACTCAGTTCAGTGATGGCGGCTGGCACCCGCCTTTCTGTGAGACCTTTTCCAGGAAAAGACCGAGTGACCTGTGGTCAGTCATATTCATTCCTTCCCTTTGGGTTTTTCTCAAGACTGGGACCCCCAGTCTCTGATGTTTTTGTGCCCACTGTTCAGCCTGGGAAGGTGATCAGGACACGTAGCCATGTGGCTCTGGTCTGGCAATCTAGTGCCTTCCCGGTTCTGGCTGGGTGACCTGAGAGTGGACCCAACTGATTCCAATGCCATGGGGAATTTCTCTCACCTGGGAAACATGATTGCTGTTGTTTTAGGGCCTAGAGTTCAGTCTCCTGGTCGCTGTATGAAAAATGTTGTCCTGCTCCTCAGTTGCACTGTTCTCCTGGCACCACTCTCTTGTCTCTCCCCCTGTATCAGTTTCTTAACCATCCTCACCTAGATGTAGATAGAGACTGCTGGCTAGGCCTGGATCCCAAGTCCCACATTGTGTTGGTACTGATCAAACAGTAAGTTCCCTTTCCAACTCTCTACATCTGTGAATGGGATCAACCTAAGCTTCCAGTGGGGGACCTCAAGGAAAGGGTGTGTGTGCTTACTGTCACCAAGACATCTGTAGATAGTTCCCCTCTGCAGAATCGGTAGCCAGGCACAGCAGCTTATCCTGGGAATGTTGCTCTAGTCTATTTCCAAGCCCGAGAGTAGCTGTTCTGCTTGCACTAATGGCGTAAGCAAGTGTGCACCTTGTGGTTATTTGCATTGGAGGAGAGCCCACTCTTTTGTGATGTCACCTCGTGTACGTCACACCACAGGTGTTTATGTAGAGTTGAGAAAAGGGCAGGGTCCCCTAAATCTAGACTCTTGGCCCTTAACACTGCTTTGTCAGTCTGGGGCCCAGTTACTGTGATCACAGCAGCTTCATTCTGACTTCTGGACATGGGGAACCCCACTCCTGCTCCTCAGATACACCACTGAAAGCCCCAGTTTGATTTCTGTCCATTGGAACTAAAAATGTCCTGACTGTGGGTGACATACGGTATCAGAGAAGAGCTGTCTAGATTTAACAATGGGCCATGTTGCAGTAGAAGCTGAATTTTCTTTTCCTCTTCCTCCTTCCCACATCTGTGTCACTCTTCCACAAAACTCCAACAGTGTTTCATCATGCTTGCCTGGTGAGTCTCCAGAGCCTGTCAAGTGAGGAGGGCTTGTGACTCAATTTACCTTTTTTTGCTTAGCTAATCTCCCAATTCTTGGGATTGACTTTTGGTTTCTGAGATTTTAGAATAAAAAATGAGTCAGATTTGGAAACTGAACCTTGAACACAAGGGGAGGCAGGGAGAGGAGAGTTGATTTTTCAGTGTTTCTACTCTCTGTGTTGTTGCTTCTCAGCCAGTTGCGATGTGGTACCAGGCCCATGGCATGTCAAGTAAGCATTGGCAGGCTCTCACCCAGGCATGAATACACACAAGCACACAAGAACACGCACACTCTCTCAGACACACATCATAAAATATGTGATCTCAGCCCTTTGGTGGTGTCTGGGTTTGGTTGGCATTTGGTACTCCAGAGTGGAGGCAATGGGGCTTAGAGGAGAGGGGACCATAAATTTGGAGAGGGCATAAGGGAGGATTTGAGGAGGAAGAGCTTAGGTTGGTTCTTTAGGGAGAGTTGGGTTTTAGTGAGGGGACAGTGGAGGAGGAGTTGTGAAATGAGCAAGGTGTCCTCTCAGGGCTGTGTGTAGACAGTGGCAGGTGGAGGCAGGAGATCTGGCTGGTGAGGGGAGCAGACTCTGTCAGGGTGGCTGAGATGCCCCTAGTGCATATCAGGAGGGAGAAAAGCAGGCATTTGCTCTCTTTGTCTACCTAGGCTGGTCCAGAGGAGAGGCGCCCAGGCACACAGCAATAGAGTTTGGGAGTATTCTGGGTGTGAGCTCCTGTGTCAGTCTTCCATTCAATGTGATAGTACCTTGGGGTTTGTGTGCTCTTTTAAAGATGTATAGTTGTAACACAAGTCAGACATTGAGGTTTCTCTCTCTCTCTTTTGTTATTATTTTGCATCTGGAGACAATTTCCTTCAGGCTAAAGGCTGACTCTTGGACTCTCCAGCCTTGACTCCCACCCTCCCCAGCTTTGCTGTTTCCTGTAGAGTTGTAGGCAGGGAGAGAGGCAGGAAAGGGGGTGATGTCTCTGGCCAGCTTCCCTGAGCAGCTCCTGTTTGCAGACTAAGGGACCAGAGGTGACCTCTCTTCTGGGTCTCTACCTCCTTTTATCTTCTAGCTAATCTGTCAGACTCCTCACACATTGTTCTTGGGGGGAAACCCAACCATCCCAAACTATTGTCTATCTACAGAGCCATCTGTCCCTGAGGGGCCTCCTTATCCACTGCATCTTGAATGTTCTTGGCAGCCCAGATGCCAGACTTGATGGCAGTGTCTATCCAGCCATGAGGTAGGTTTGTGTGCTCCCCAGCAAAGTAGATGTGGCCCTCTGGCTGGGAGAGCTGCTTCGAATAGTCCACATATTGGTAGGGTGTGAACTCAGCAAAAGCGCCAAGGGTGAGGGGGTCCAGGGACCATTGCTTGCGCACTGACTCAGGGCACATGCGCTTTAGCTCCTCCTTGGATTGCTGGTGCACTGCGGCCAGGTCATCCAGGATGATATCCACCACCTGGTCATCCTTCATGGAGGTAAAGAACAGGGAATCATCACCCAGAGTGTAAGAGGCCAGCAGCATGCCCTTGCCACCTGGCAGGCTGTGGCTGGGATAGTAGATGAAGCGGGAGGGCCGGTCCGTGATGGAGCTCCCACCTCGTATGCCCTCCTTTTCCCAGAAACGTTCGTTGCACACTAATGCCACCTTGGTGGCACTGGAGTAATGCAACAAGCCCAGGGCATGCGTTTTGTTTGGGGACAGGGGTGGCTGGAAGGTGATGAGGCGTGTGGCCTTGGCTGAGGCAGAGATGATGGCATAGTCTGCTGTGAGGTTCTGCAGTGAAGACGTGGGCCCAGCTGTGCGGTAGGAAACCTCAACCTTTGTTCCATTTCTCACCACTCTTTCTACTTTGGACCCCAGATGGATGGTGCCTGGCTTCAGGATGGCACTGAGGCCATTAGGGAGTTGGTCAAAGCCACCAGTGATCTCTGTAAATCTGCAGGGGGGAGAGGGAAAAATGTGGAGACACTACCAGCTCTGTGTGTCCCAGCCATACTTCTGGTCTGAGAAGGGAAGAACTTATCTCCTGACTCTTGTTTGGACACTTTATAAACATCACCTTCATGAATACACAGCCCCGTGTCAGGCGGAGATTGTTCCCTGAGTGCACCCAACATGGTAAATACCCAACAAACCAGTGCTGGGGACTGGGTTCTTCCTGGCATCAGGTCAGCCTTACTCTGTGCTTTTGGAGTAGAAGATGCTAAAACTCCTCAGCGTCTCCAGGAGGGAGTCATATAATCCGGCATCCTCATTCATCAAGTCCTCGATGAACTGGACTGCTCCTTTGCTTAGGTTTCCTTCCTTCATTAGGTAAGCCTGTGGGGCGAGGGCATCATAGATGCAAGTGTGGGCCATTGGGTAAGGAATACAGGAAGGCTTTAGCAGGGACCTGGGCCCAGCAAGGGTAGATTTGGGTTTGACAGAGGCAAAGGCTTTTGCAGTAGGAAGAGAGCATCCTGGAGGCAGGACACTGCCTCAGAGCCTTTGTTGAGCCCAGAGCCCTGAGTGCACATCTCTACTTCCATCCTGGGGCTTCTCATTTCACTTACCTTGGTGGAGTAAGAGTCATAAAGGGATAGCAGTTCAGGGCAGTTGAGTGGCTTCATGGATTCATTGATCTGCAGAAGGTGAGGAGAGATATGGTCATCAAGCTGGGCCTCCAGGTGTCCAGGACAACTAGGCTGTTTGGAGACAAGGTCACAGGGCAACACATACTGTACATATTTTTAGATT